AGGGGGACATAGCGATCTAAGTCGAAATAAAGAATCACAAGGTTTAATGTATCCATAATTGTGGGTATAGGGATTGAAGAGTAAACATTGATTCAACATCTAATGATATGATTCTTTGATTTCTATTTATGTTTATGTCAATAATGTCTTCTTTGAATTCATATGAGTTAACAATTTCATTTTCATTAAAATATTGGTAGATTTTTATCATCCTCTTATAGAAGAAGCTCTTATCCTCAACTTGTGTATCTTTAATAGTGAATAAAGAGTTTATCATTGTATTATGATGCATTGACATGCCATCTATTATCAAAATTCGAAACTATTATAGACGCGTATGATTCTTTTAAAAATTAACCATTTTACTGCCCTTACTTCGATAGAAAAATTTATGGGAAGGCCTGGTTCATCAGTGGTGAACCCTCCCAGCAGTTTTGCCAGTTTAATCTACCATACCGTTGTTATATTGCATTTTTCGAACTACTTTTATAGTGATACTGATGCTAGATTCTTGGAATAGGTATTTTAGATGAACTATGGACATATGCTTTGAGGACAGCAGAATTACATATAATTATAAATATATAATAGATTATCGTTGTCTTAAATTCTTTAGTGGGGAGAGAGAGGAAGGAAGTGGGAGAAGAGTTTCCATCATTTACAAAAAGCTTGCGACTTGAAGGCCTTTAACACCAGCAGCTCCAGGATGCTGCCTCAGCTCAAGTTTCCTGCTCAGAAAGGTAATGTGAGAGTGGAGCCCTCTCTTCCTCTCAGATTGTTGAGATTTTCTTTCCTCAGCTTATATAAGGTACAATTTGGGTGGGTGGTGGTTGGTGGAAAGATGGTCTAAACCGTTGGTTTTCGACCACTACGACCCGGGATTGAATCTCTCATGGGCGCTTTTTTCTGATTTAAAAAAAATGCTCCAATGACCCCTGATTCTTGCAAAAGTCCAACCCCACCAGCGAGTGCAAGTAACCAAACGGGGCTCTGGCACATTTGTAAGTGCAAAGTCGAACTGCTTTTCACATGTATAGACATGTGGTGCACTTACAGTAAAAGCAGTCGCCTACTTCTACCCATCATGATTATCATGGCCTGTACCACGTGTACTAAGGATAAGTAAAAAAAACAAACAATTTGGATTAGAGATGAAGGTGATGGGGCAATTGCATTTGGTCTTACAGTACTTACATGGCCATGGCCTAAAAACATGGTTATCCTAGTTCTTAAAATCAAGAGACACTTTGGCCAGAAAAGTTTATTTTCTTGGCCTTTCAACAAAAATCTTTTGTTCTCATCAGGAAAAAAAATGAAAATCGGAGCATTTTGCATAAAGTCTAATGCATTTTTTTTTCCCTGACGAGGAAAAAAAGATCTTTGTCGAAACATCGAGAAAATTAAAAACCTTTTCTGGCCGAAGTGTCTCTTAATTTTAAGAACTAGGAATGCCGGCCAGGCAACCTCTATCTTCAAAATGGTTATCCTAATCTCTCCTGGAGGTAGTCTCTCATCACAGAGTCTCCACTTCATTTGACTCTTCCTGATTTGAATTGACCCGACATAACAGTGTTTCTGATATAAGACCATTCTCTAGGAGAGACCAGGTTTTTAGCCATGTTTTTAGGCTATGGTTTTTCATGGAAGACTGTATCACTTTGTGACTTTGTGTTGACCATATGCTAGAGGGAAATGCCAATGTGTAGAGGAGCCCTGATGTCAGAATATACTAAATGCATAACAAAGTCTATCTATATTGGAGGTTCCCAAAGTGGGCAGTTCAGCCCCCTTAGTGGATGGACAATGACTTTCCAGAATGGTTACAGGGTTTTCCCATTATGTACTAAGTGCAATTCTCAGCCTGCAATCCCAAGACATATTATTGACTGTATTGACTCATCCATTGATGAGCTCTACTCTTCCCCGGCAGACACCATCAACAAGCTTTACAAGCTTGATACCTTAGTGTCATTGAGTGGAGATAAGAAAGAAGAAGAAGTGGGTGCTGAAGTCTTCTACTGAGGCCTTAGTGTGTTCAGAAGCATTTTGAGGCAGTTTAGGGGTCACAATGAAGATGTCAAAAGAGTTTAATTTACTCTCCTCTTCTACGATCAGTTATTCAAGTGGAGAATTGGTTCACACTGTTGATTTATCAACAACCCATGACTCAGGATTGAATCCAGCATTGGGAATTTTTTTTTTTTCTGAAGAAAAATAATACTTCAACGAATGCCAATTCTTCTGAAAGTCTAATGCCCCCAGTGAGTGCAAGTAACTAAACAGAACTCTCTAGCAAACTAATAAGTATAGAGAAAATGAAAACATTCGTGTCTTAATGTTTTCATTTGCTTGATATGATAAGGCACAATTTGGATTATAGATTACAAATACAAGGTAATAAGACCAAATCCAAATATATAGTGTGTGACATTTTGGTAACAGCTTTGTTACCATCTTCAGACAAAAGTACTGAATATTTAAAAAATTTTATTGACTTCTAGTCAACAGCTGAAAACACTATTCAAGCACACACATCAGAAAACAGTATTACAACATTTACATGATAAGAATTCCCTACAGAAACCCCCCGTTGTCAAACATCCTCCTCTTCTAGCCATTACCCAGTTTCTTCTGTTGAATAGTATAATTTTCTCAGTCAATGAGCTGATCAATGTTATACCCCTTCAAGTAATTCAACGACTTCAATGCAACACAGACTTTCAAGACGTTGTAAAAGTACTGAATGTCAACATGACTGTCAATGACAACAGTACTTTTGTCTGATGATGGTAACAATGTTGTTACCGAAACGTCACACATTATTTATTTATTTGGTCTTATTACCTTGTGATCATTTGCTTAATATATAGATGGCACGTTATGGCTTTATATTAAACTTAAAAGTGCAAAATCAATCTGCTTTGTCTATATGGGTAAATATGTGGAACAACTTATAGTAAAAGGAGTTGCTAACTATCCATTATGAATGATAAAGCACAATTTGGATTATTGATTATAATACAAGAAAATAAGACCTAATCCAAATAATTTAATATTGTGTGACGCTTCGGCAACAGCATTATCACCATCATCAGACACATTGCATTTATTCTTTTGTCTGATGATGCTGTTGCCGAAACGTCACACACTATTAAATTATTTGGATTAGGTCTTATTTTCTTATTTATTATGAATTATCATTGTATCATATGTATTTGAGATAAGTAATGATAAAGCACAATTTGGATTATAGATTATAATAAAAGAAAATAAGACCTAATCCAAATAATTTAATAATGTGAGACATTTCTGCAACAACATTGTCACCATCATCAGAAAAAATAATAAAATGTCCAAATAATTTATTAGTGTGTGACGTTTTGGCAACAACATTGTATTCTTTTTCTTCATACAACATTTTATTCTTTTGTCTGATGATGGTGACAATGTTGTTACCGAAACGTCACACACTATTAAATTATTTGGATTAGGTCTTATTATATTTTATTGAGATAAGTAAAAAAAAATGTCATGATAAAGCACAATTTGGATTATAGATTATAAACACAAGGTAATAAGACCAAATTCAAATAAATAAATTATGTGTGACGTTTCGGTAACACCTTGTTACTGTCTGAAGATGGTAACAAGGTGTTACCAAAACGTCACACACTATTTATTTATTTGGATTTGGTCTTATTACCTTGTGTTTAAAACAACTGTCATTTAGGTGTCCTTTACAGAGAGGTTCTACTAGGAAGCTCACTTCAGAGATCATCCTCACAACATCTCCAAAATGATAGTCAGCCAATATGGAACATCACTCCATCCAAATAACACTATAAGACAACTTCCCATTATGCCCCTTTACATCAACATTTGAGAGTCAGGTTTGGCCTTGGCATTTGACCCAGTGTGGGAGCTGACTAAATTAGCCCACCTGAGTTCACAACAGCTGGAGGAGGGAGGATGTACTGAGTTTATTTACAGTCCCCTCCCCCCCTTTATTATCCCCCTAATCTACCTTTCCCTCTCACCTTTTCACTTGCTCTTCTTCTTTTATATTTACTACTAGGGGGTCTTGACATTTCTTATTGGTGAAACTTTAAAATAGTTTTTATATAAAAAAATAGAATAGTCCTTTGATAAGTTCAGGAGCAGTGTGTTAGAGAAAGTTCTATTATACATAGCCTTGTAGTTCGGGGTCAACTTGAGTTCAGGGATTTGCATTGACTTACAATTCAAACAAATCCCATACACCTCTAACTCCGTCTTTGACGGTTCCAAGCCCGGATGAAAAAGGAGGAGGGGGAGCAGTAACAAGCTCACTAAAAAACCTGGGCTCAGCTGGCCCGGCTGATAGTACCCTGTAAGGGCTCCTAATCCAGGGATACAGGATGAGTCTGTACTCCATGTTAGGAGCGACTGTACATGGCATCTGTTCCTCATGTCAGAGGCGGCCATTTCTTTTAGAGCTAAGTCGGCCTGCCACTGAGTAGTGCTCCCAGTCTTAATGACAAAGGCAGACACATTCTACTTCACCCAGTCATGATGGTTGCCAAATCTCCCCACACACCTCTGGCTTATCTTCCAGAAACTCTCCATTTGATTACCTTCCCCCTTCCAACATTAATCCACTACAGTAGAACTTCCATGAGAGGACACTCACGCTAGAGGACACCACTCTATAAAAGACAGTTTTCATTTGCAAAATTACCATTTTTTACCTTTTGCAACTCTCTGGTAAGAGCACACCTCTCTTTAAAGGACACTTTGACTCTGTAATTAGGTGTCCTTTACAGGAAGTTTCTACTGGAAAGCTCACTTCAGAGATCATCCTCACAACATCTCCAAAATGATAGTCAGCCAATATGGAACATCACTCCATCCAAATAACACTATAAGACAACTTCCCATTATGCGACTTGGAGGCTGATACTGTAGAAGTCTCCATAGAATTATTTTCGGGATTTGGAATAAAGTTTTCTCTTTTAGGAATTAGCCTACAGCACCCCATGTGGCACCCTCCCAAGTACTGACCGGGTCCGACATTGTTCAACTTTGGTGATAGGATGAGAACTGGTGTTTTCATTGTGGTATGGCCATAGGCCGGGGTCGGCAAACTTTTGAGTCGGAAGAGTCAAAAATTACAATTTTCAAAATTTCAAAGTTTTTAAAGAGCCACAACATTTTTTCTTGCCAACACTAAATAGTACTCGCATAAATAATATTTACATATGGAACTATATAAAGAACCACAGCTTTACATCCAAAGAGCCGCATGTGGCTTACAAGCAGCAGTTTACTGACCTCTGCCATAGGCCATTCTCTTTTAGATGAATTGCTAAACAATGCCATATAAAAAAGTGCCATCCACCCTTGGCTTGAAATCTGTTTTCCTTCTAGATGAACTGTCAAATCTGTCTAATAATTTTTGGTGCTATCCTGTCTTGTTACTTGGACTACAAAGATGGCCATCTCTATAGGTACCAAGACCAAATCCCTCATTCCCTTTAGATTCTAATCTATAATACAAATTATACCTTATCATGGTCATCTCTAGTTTAAATATCAGTTTGGGTCTTTTTTGGCTTGTGATGCTTTTTGAGAATCTATAAAAAATTGAATACACCTATCCCCCGATTTACACGGTAGATACGTTCCTGAGAAAAACGTGTAAATCGGGGGATAGGTGTACACAGAAATAAAAATAAAATGAATTCACAGGTTAAAATATGTAGTCAGCACATGAGCTCGGGATTCCTCGTGAGATGTGTACACAGCGCATGTGTTCAATCACAGTAGCATTTAATATAGTGCGATAAAAAAAAAAAAAAAACTTATTTGGAAAACCGTGTAAAAGCGAAAACGTGTAAAACAAGTACCGTGTAAATCGGGGGATAGGTGTATTTAGGTTCTTTACAAACCCAAGGTAATAAGACCAAATCCAAATAAATAAATAGTGTGTTGCCTTTTGATAACAGCATTGTTACCATCATCAGACAAAAGTGTTAATGAAGAGATTCGGCACTTTTGTCTGATGATGGTAACAACACTGTTATCGAAACGTCACACACTATTTATTTATTTGGGTTTGGTCTTTTTACCTTGTGTTAATAATCTATAATCCAAATTGTGCCTTATCAGGTTCTTAACATTATCATTTTCTCAATTACACTGATTTTAAACTGAGAAAACATTTACAAAATGTCATCTCTCTCAAATTTATAAAATACGGTGGAACCCCTCATTATAACAGGCACAACTTTGATAAGGCACAATTTGGATTATAGATTATAAACACAAGGTAATAAGACCAAATCCAAATAAATAGTGTGTGACGTTTCTGTAACAACCCTGTTACCGAAACGTCACAGACTATTTATTTATTTGGTCTTATTACCTTGTGTTTAGGCACAACTTTGTTATAACATCATAATTCAAAAGTCCCTAGTTTTAATGTCTGGTTGTTATAACTGTGGTTGTAACATGAGCAAATCTTGGTCTCCCAAGTGATGTTGTTATAGCAAGGTATTTCTATAACAGTTGGCTATGGTGTGTACAGATAACTCATCAATATTATCACAACCCGACTGAAATATGTTTAATCTTCTTAAACACAAGGTAATAAGACCAAATTCAAATAAATAAATAGTGTGTGATGTTTCGGTAACAGCCTTGTTACCATCTTCAGACAAAAGTACTGAATGAGAAATTTTACCACAGCATGTTTTTAAATAGTTACTGTTATCAAGTGGGTAAACAAGATTATAATCTATAATCCAAATTGTGCCTTATCAAGTTTAATCTTCTTCTTTCTTATCTCCATGATTGGGTGAATGGTATGTTTAATATAAAGCAATAACGCACCATCTATATATAAAAAATTAAAACATTAAGGTACCAAATGTTTATTTTACACATAAAACAAACTTCTACTGTCCTTACTACGATGAAAAAATATATTGGGAGGACTTGGATCATCAGTGGTGAACCCTCCCAGCGGTTTCACCAATTTAATCTACCAGACCACTTCTTAGAGCTCTAATACTGTATTGGACAATTCTGCTTATAAATGCTTAGAAATGATTGAGGAAACAAGGATAAAATCCAAATAAGTAATTTATATACAAGGTTTCTGTAACAACATTGTTGGCATCTTCAAACAAAATGATAAAGCACAATTTGGATTATAGATTATATTACAAGAAAATAAGACCTAATCCAAATAATTTAATAATGTGTGTATAACACACTATTAAATTATTTGGATTAGGTCTTATTTTCTTGTATTATAAGTTTTCAGACAAAAGTTCTGTTCAAAATGATGTTTTTTGGAGAAAATAACAATGCTTTTAAGATGATATTTAAATATGGAAAGGAAGTTTAAAGAAAATGATGTTTGGTCAGTGTGTATGTGTGTATTCCTGCATGGATTTGAAGACATGATCATGATAAAAGAAGCAGAGAGGTAAATGAAATCTTTTGATATCTGGTGTGATAGAAGAATTCTTGAGTTCATATATAGAGCCTTTAGTTCAAATATGGAGAGATAGGATGACAAACTCAGAGATTTAATGAATACCTTCTAAATGAAGAAATTAATGAATAAAATGAATAATGAATGAAAGTTTACATGAGATTTGATCCAATAATCATCAAGATCTATTGACCATAGTGGAGGGAGACTCCTTAAAGAAAGAAGAGTGTGGTAGACCAAGAAAGGATTGGTTTGGAAGTTGGTGAACGAGTGGTTTAATTTGTTGGTTTCCACCCACTACAATGACTCAGGATCAAATACTGCTTTGGACACTTTTTTTTTCTAAAAAAAAAAAAATTGAAAAAAAAAATTAAAAAATGCTTTAATGACTCCCGATTCTTGATAAAGTCCAGCCCCACCAGCGAGTGCAAGTAACTAAACAGGGCTCTGGCCCACTTGTAAGTGCAAAGATTGAATTGCTTTTCACATGTGTAGACATGTGGTGCACTTACAGTAAAAGCTGTCACCACCTTTTACCCACCATGACTATAAGGGCTTGTACCATATGTTATAAGGATAAAAAAAAAAAAGGTATTGGTTAAATCATCTAACTGAAAGGTCTGGAATTAGAAGAAATGAGGATGTGACAAGAATTGCTCAGAACAGAGTGAAATGATGTCACATGATGGATGGCTCAGAGATGGTCTTAGATGATGATGTACACTCATGGACAAAACTTAAGGAAAAGGAAAGTCTTTGATGTTGCCGGTCATGGCAGGGTTGATGGGATGTCAATGTTTACTTGTAGTTATGTAGGAATACATCAATTTGGTGTACCTTCAGATAAACTGGATGTCAATGTTTACTTTTGAGTTTACTATTTGTCATTATTAATTTTTGTTGATTTAATGACATTTTCTGAACTTTTAAACATGATTATGATTTTCACATTAAAGTTATAAGCGATAGATGACATTGCTTACTAAAAGTACACACATTCATTATGGTAATGGCTTCATTCATACAGGAATACAGTGGAACCTGTACCTCTTTTTATGACAGAAACATAGTTACAATATAAACTCTAAAAATGAAAGTCTTAACTCTGTTTATAAAACAACACAGTGATGACAACATTAAAATCTTGTTTCCAAGTGATGTTATACTAAGGTTTGACTTTAATATATTTATCATTTTAAATATTGAATACCTTCTATTAAAAAACAGAAACACAAAAGTTACTAATAATAATTTGCTACAAATACAGCATTGAGATGGAGCATGGAGAATAAAAAAATTATTTCATCTTTTTATGTCAACTATCTTTTATTTTCAAACATTACAAACACAGAGAATGGATACTCAATACAGTATGCTAAATATTCCGAAATTTTATAAGATTATTCTAGATTATATATTTTAGAAACTTACCTTTGTAAAACGTCAAAATTTTCCAAGGAAGCCTTATATTCTGGTGGAATAGTTTTGTCTTCATTATTTTTCAAAAATCCGCTATATTTAAAATTCAATATATTCGACTTAGAAGTGAAAATATGCCGCTTATTATATAGTAAATATTTTGGGGAATATTCCAAAGTTCGTAAAGCTTTTATATTCCATTTAAATCCTATCTTGGCAAGCATTGAATATTTTAACCTCGAATAATTAAGCGCATTTTTAAAGATCCTTTTATCTTTACAATTGAGGAGCGAGTAACGGATCATTAAAACAGCAATTATTATATTTTTTGAGTATTTTAATACCTAAAAACCAGATTGACTTAAACGACTAGAATTAAAATTGACTACCAAAATAAACATCAATATTAAATATAAACATACATACACCAGAGTCTCAAAGTTAATTTGAGAAAAGTTTGTTGCAGTTCATTGAGTTGGATTTTAAAATATTATCTATATATCCTTTGATAATTGTATGTATATTTTTATTTAAATAAGGACATTTATGATTTTATTAAATATGTTTGTATAATGTTAATTTTTATTATTTTAAGACAACTTAAAAAAAAAAAATATTAAAAGGACAATATCGTATAATAGCATTAGCTACCAAAGCAGAATACGTTTCTTGTTTTCAAAATTAGACTCGGTCATGCATTTTCGTATCTGAGATCTTTTCAGAATCAGTCTTGTTGGCAGAAACTTGAGGGGTTCTTAACTGGAACTTGCAGTCACTCAGGGTTTTTTCTCCAAAGCCCTTTCTGAGTCTTTAGAGGAATTCTTCAACACTTCACTGAAAATATTCAGTAATTATAAGTAAATATCAAGCATTAAGTCTGAAATAGAGAGATTTATAAACAACTTCTAGCTCACACTTTAACCCTCTCAGTCAGGAACCTGAATATATCCCACTGGGGTTATAAGTTATTATAGCTGTAACCCACAGATTGCAAATATTGTAGATACTGACATGGATATAACGTGCTTCTGCCAAGAATTCCCTCGGCGACTTTAAACTTTGTCCCTAGTAGCTTCGCATCCTTTCTCTTGTGGCGTGAAGACGGCTTTGGCAATAAGGACATCATCTTCTTGTAAAGAAGTCTTGACATTGACACGATTTTTTTCTATTTCCACTTATATAACTATATAACACTTATATAGTTTAC